GTGGCCGGCATGATTCAACGCCAAAGGTGCACGGAATGCTGTTTTCTTCCCACCAAAGGTGGCCCCTATTTTTCTACTTGCGTTTTTACATGCTTTCGAACTGCTAGGTGGCAGAAGCTGGGACAAGGAACAGGAGCTCACCCTGTTACGCGGCACTAGGGATTTGAATCGCTAAACTGCCGACCTTTCAATCGACAAGCTCAGCGTCTTAGCCACTGAGCCACCGCATCCCTTGAATTAGACCTTAGCCAAGAACAAAATCCAACTTTGGAAAGAAAGTAAAATCAACCTTTAGTTCTAGATGGAAACAAGCTTATTGGGCAAAGTTGGTGAGAACAGGAGGCTGCGTTAATTGGGGGGAGAAGGGAGGGAGAGAGAGAGTACTAGGACACCTCATAGGAACAAGACATCCTCAGAGGCAGGAAGGGCAGCATTTGGACAGGCAGAGAGGTTATTAACTAGCATAACATAGTCCTCCCCCATCATTACTAAATTGCTTGAAATCAGGAGCAAACAAGCCAGGTTCCATCGACTCCCCTTCTATTAGACCTGGCAGAGGCATCCTGGAGCTGAGTAGACCTGAGTTTGCAAGCCCCCACTAGAGACCCTGCCCCAGAATGGGAGGGGACTGTGCATATGTCTGATCTCCTGCAAGGGGTAAGAAGGGGCCGTGTTCCTGCCACTGAAAGAGAGAGCAAGTGATCCAGCCATATGGTGATAGCAAAACGTTTGTTGCCCTGAGTTACCTATCAAGTAATAAAACCAGGATAAAAAATAATTGAATGAATAAATAAATAAATAAATAAAATTTGCACCTCCTAGAATACCGAATTTGATCCTCAGTCCTTTATTTAATCAAATTAAATTACTTATTTATCTAAACCATCTTTTCATAGAACATAAAATCATGGGGCTGGAAGGGACTTTGGAGGCCTTCCAGCCCCCTGCTCAAGACAGGAGATCTTATTTCATCCCGGTCAAACGGTTGTCCAGTCTAGTTTTGATAACGTCGTCCAGTGATGAAGCCCCCATAACTCTGGGTGGCTCTTCCTCCTGTCCTTCAAAGCCCCATAACTGCTTTGCTTAGTCTTCTGGATGGGGAAAGGTCCAAATGGACTCAAGCAGAATTGACACCCAAAATAAGGAGAACACCCGAAAGAACTCCCTTCCTAAGTAAAAGGAGAGACACTGCAAATAAAGAGAAATAAATGGTTAGGAAATAAATGATTCCCATGAAGGAGCTTAAACTTCTAGGACCAGATTTATTCTGCTTAAAAACCCCTTTTTAGGATCCTTAAGAAATCCTGGAGGCAGGAATGGAGCCGGAGGACCAGAGGAAGCCAAATGTTCTGGACTTCAAAAAAGGGAAAATATCTATGTCATTTCAGACTAGCCAAATACCTAATTGTCTGTCTAATGAGCGTGTACCAGTATATTGATCTATACAGTGTGGCTGTAGTATTATTATTTATCCTTTTTATTCTTTACTTCCCCTTTTTCAATAATGGTATTATTATCCCTTTTATTCATTAAACATGAAATTCACTCAACTGAACATTTAAAAATGTGTCACAAATACCACTGACTGGTGCTAATGATATTATTATTATTATTATTATTATTATTATTATTATTATTATTATTTAATTTTTAGTGAGATTCACAGCCTTTGAGGTTGGTTAATAGCTCAGCAGTTCGAGTCCTAACCAAGGACCTAGGAACTGTTAAGATATGGTCGGAGGATGTAAGCTGTTCCGAGTAAGGTGGTTTTTGTAGAGTCAAAATGTTCAAGTTCGGCAAATTTAGAATTTCTAAATAGCGGAGTAGCCCTTTGGGTATTGCTCCAAGGGCTCCAATTATAATCGGGACAACACACGATTTCTTTTTCCACATAATATTAATAATAATAGTATTATTAATAATAATAGTATTTATTATTAATTTATTATTATTAATAATTATTAATATTATTAAATAATAATAATAATAATAATAATAATAATAATAATAATAAAATTTGATTCACAGTTTGGGACTGGTAAAAACTTAACAATTCAAGTCCAAACCAAGGGCCTAAGAGCTGTTAAGGTAACGTCTGAGTATATAGGCAGGTCCGAGTAAGGCGGGTATTTTTTGCAAAGTCAGGATATTCAGGTCTGAGAAGTTCAGAATTTCCACATATCCTTTGGGTGTTGCTCCAAGGGCTCCTATTACTATTGGTATATAAATGTCGGCTGTCGGCCCCTAGGGGGAGAGCCTTCTCTGTGGGGGCACCGACGATCTGGAATGAGCTCCCCCCAGAGATACGGAGGATTCCGGATCTACGCACCTTCCGCCGCGAGTTGAAGACGCTTTTATTTCATCAAGCTGGCCTCGCCTAAATCTTCTCCATTTTAAGTGTAAATTCTAAATTTTTAATGTATTTTAAAATATGGGTATCTTAAATTATGGGTATTAATTCAGCCAAATTTATTTAATTCATTTTATTCGATTTTAAATTTTGTATATCTATGTGTTTTATCTCATGGCTGTGCACCGCCCTGGGTCCTTCGGGAGTAGGGCGGTATAGAAATTCAATAAATAATAATAATAATAATAATAATAATAATAATAATAATAATAATACCCATGGGTTTCTCCCTCCACAATTGCTCAACTTCAATTTGCAGATCATGGTATTTTGTTATTTTTTCTAGTTGTATCTTTTTAATTTGTGCATCACCTGGTATTGCAACATCAATGAACCAGACTTTTTCCTTTTCCACAATAGTGATGTCAGGTGTGTTGTGGGCCAGATGTCTGTTTGTTTGGATTCAAAAGTCCCAAATTGTTATTATTTTCTCTGATGCTTTGCAAGTACACTGAGTGCTTCTGTACCAGGGACAAATTCCTTGCGTGTCTAATTACATTTGGTCAAATAAAGTATTCAATTCAATTCAACTCAAACGGAGTTAAACTCTGGAACAGTTTAACAAGCGGTCAGTTTGTGAGCATTTAGAAAATAATTACTTGCTTGGCAGGAGAAGAATGGATTCATCAAGGTCAAGCATTCCCTTTTTTTGGCAAAGTGGCCAATTTATTACTTGCACTATTGGCAGGCAACAACAACAGCCTGACAAACTGACCAGTAAAAGCTGTTTGAGAGTGTGGCTGTCTCTCGCTCGCTCGCTGGGGTTGTTTAACCAAGGCCTGAGGCTCAGTCCTTGATGCCTGCGCTGGGCAAGGAGGAACTACAGCATCTCCAGTCTTTGCTTCTATCATTCAGAGCCAGTTCGATGCATCAAAATGCAGATTCTTCCCCTTTCACTCCACTGACTATGAAGCAATGGCAAGATGGTCCCATGGCTTGCCATTGGGGGGGGGGCTGGATTACAGGGCTCCCATGTCTCTCACTTGAACCCTGTGGTGCTCCTGTTATGCAATCCTTCAACAGCCAAACAGGAAGCATGAAGTAGAATACATCACACCAATCCTTTAAGTTTTAAGGCATCCCCATAACTGTCTGACCCATCGATTCAGTTGAAATGGCGCTCATCAATCCCTCAAACCCTAAATGGCTTGAGATACAGCACTTAAGAATGGTCTCCCTCCCGAGACAGCCTGTGAATTGTGATCTGCTACCCAAAGCATGCTTGGGTTCCATCCCGTAGGCCTGATGCATGTGGGAGTGAGCTTGGGGGGCAGGGGAAGAGCTGCAGCCAGAGCAGAGGCAGCTTAGCCTGGAAAGTGGGTGTGGAACGAGGGTGTCGTCCCCACCCCCCGTTTCTTGGACTATAAAGATGCCAGGGAAGGGATGAACTTTCAGACTTGCAAGATTCTGTTAATGTAACTTTACAATAGAACAGAAACGGTTAATCTAGCTGTGCTTCTTGTCAGGACTACCTTGCAAAGGTGACATCAGTCTTGCAAGCCTGAAAGAACATTCCCCCCCCCCCCGTCGCCTCTGCAGCCCACCACCCTCACTCCCCCCTTTAGTGGAAAACCCTGGAGAGTTGCAACCAATCCCCAGGCAGTCTCGCTTCAAATGTAAGGTGTTGTTATTTGCTGGCTAAAATAACTCTGGGGCCAGAATGTCAATGAAGATACTGTTTTCATGGGAACATCTTATTTAATTAGTTTTTATTATCTTTTATGGGATATAGATGTAGGTATAGATATTTTTCTGCACTGCTGTTCACATCCTTTGGGAGGCACAGCTGCTCTTCTAATAGGTCAATTAGCCTGCATTAGTCCCAGCTATGACGCACAGGGGCCCTTTTGAAGGAAAACAAGCATGCCCCCCTCCAATTGTCTGCATTTAATTTGGGGCAGGTGATGTATGCCCTCCAATGGAGATGTGCACCTCAGACATCTGAACAGCACAGGGAAGTGAATATTTATTTATTGGTTCGATTTATATGCCGCCCTTCTCCAGAGACTCAGGGCGGCTTACAATGCGTTAAGCAATAGCCTTCATACTATTACAATATGTTGTCCTTGGAATTAAATATCATGCCTGTATCTCACAATAAGGCCCCGAGTGTGTCAGAAATGACAGAAAAAGTATACTGATCATAGAATTCCAGAATGATAGAACTGGAAGGCACTGTGAAGATTTCCTATCCAATCCCCCTCACAGAGCAGGAATCTCAGACGAAGGCTTGTCTGGTCTCCTGGAAAGTCTGAATAGGTACAGCCTGCCACTCCCAGTGCTGCAGGTAGCCAGACTTATCTTGGACTGTTGCATGATGCAGGTTGGTGAAATGTGCTTTTTAAAGTGAAAATAATATACAGCATCCATTTCTATTTTTTGAGTAATTGAAAATCACCTGCTGTGGCAGAGTAATGAGGAGGGAGATGGGTAGAAGGACAATGTTGGGAAGGGTCTTGAATGTGTGTTTGTGCAGTGATGGATGGAGACAATGAGGTGGCAAGCTCAGCTTTCTGCTCGACTGTCACTTAGTGGCTCTAGGTGGGTCTCCCACAACCCCTGAACTCTTCCCCATCCACTTGGCCTGCAGGTGACTTGCAGGGATCATGTTGAGGCAACTGCTGCTGTCCTTGGGAGTCCTACAGGTGACCCTTGCCTTCCTGGCTTCTGGCCATGGCCATCTGGACGAGAGGGGACCCGTCCTGGAAGAGACAGGCAGGCCCAGTTCCCCAGGCCTTGAGATGCTCAAGGAGGTCCACATCCCAGGTAAGTGGGGTGGGAAGTCTTCTCCATGCAGCTTCCAGATGTTTCCATGTTTGGTTGTTGGTCAATAGAAAAAGTTGATAAAAATGACAGGATTCATTCTTAGAAAGAAGAGAATTTCCTGTATACTCCCACACCTTCCCATACCGGATAGTTTTCGCTTGGTGGCTATTTTGATTTTGTTAGCCAAAAATTGTTGTGTTTGTGTGACTGAATGATTATCAAATAACTTACAGTAGATTGTAAAATACATCTACTCCGTCCCAAATGAACAGCACCCACCTGCCCTTGGTCTTCTAGCTAACAGAGCAGAGTCTTCCTGTTGATCAGCAGAGAAACACATCTTTGATAGGCCTGGAGAGACTCCAGGCCTTGCACACACGCATACACATGCACGCACAGTGCGTGTGTGCTCACTTGACAGTGAGCCGTGCAAGTTCACTGGACGAGCTGTGGCTGGGTCTTTCTTTTTCAGATCAGCCTTTACTGGATCATTGTTGTATTGATTCCTGGAGGAAAGATGGGATATAAATCTAACAAACAAATAAAATAAGTTTATGAGTAAAGACTTAAACTATGAAAGGAACATCATTTACAAAGTCCAGGGCAATTTGATGGGGTTATTTGTATTTGTCACCTCAATTTGTTGCCTAAACCATTAATGGTTGCCTCAGTTATCTGTGGGCAACCTTACTGGTGCAATTTCTCTGGTGTTGCTGCACATTGTGTCCAGCTCCACCAGTGAATGAGAGAGAAGTATTCAAGTATACAACCAATGAGATATTTAAGCAACCTCATTCCTTCCAATAGTGGAAAGACACAGAGATTTAAAGACAAGACTATATTAAAGTTTCAGGCTAAAGCATTAGAACCACACATTAAGTTCCATTTAAGAAGATTTATTGCTCACCTCTGTGCACAAGAATCTGGTCAATGGAATTCAAGGAAGAAGGGAGGGGTAGACTTTGATTGTTTGTGGTAACTTAACTACTTCAGACTGATTCCTCTATTGACTCCAGCCCCCTCCCCCCCCAGTTCTGCCTCTTCTTCTCCTTCAAAGTGCAGTCATGCCTAGACATTAAGATGATGCAGCACATGAAATTCCAAAGAAGGAATAAAAATAACCATCCAAAAAAATGAAAGACATAAGATAAGAGATAATGGAAATGTCCCTTTTACCACACGATTCACTACACTTCTTCATGTCTTTCCACCTTTGCAAATAATTCTTACTTCCTTGGAAGTTTGAATGGATCAATAGGAAAACCAAAAATGTGGTGATTGCATGACATTGATGAGATCTCCAATAAATGAAAATAGATAAATCAGTATAAGAATTGATGGAAGCAAGAATTATTTGCAAAGGGAGAAAAGTCCTGTTTATTGATTTATCAAATTTATATGGCTGTCCATCTCACAAGAAGTGACTCTAGGCAATGTTTAGCAAAAAAGTAAACAAAACCATAAACATGTCATGACAGTCTTATTAAAAAAAAAAGAACAGATCGACTAATTGAAGAGATTCAATCAGCAATGGAGCCATCTCTAGCAGTCCTCTAAGCTCCTCCACCAGGCTGGATGACAAAACCAGGCATTGGGGGATTTTGGTAAATAAGGAGGGATGGAGCTGAGCTCACTTCAGAGAAGAGAGCGAAGAAGGCCTGCCCAGAGATGGGACCTTCTGGATGTCTCACTTGCTCAATGTCATGGGATGAGATGTAATCAGGAAGAGGCATCCTTCAAATAACTGGTCCCCATGCCATTAAAGGTCAAAGCATGCCCCTTGACCCAGTGTGGCAACCGGTGCAGCTGATGGAGCAGAGTTGTACTGTGCTAACTGAGGAACACACATCCAGTCACTGTCTAGGCTGCTGCATTGTGGCCAGCTGAAGTTCCTGGAAACTCTTCATCCCATGCAGAGCACATTACAGTCACCCAATTGGGAGGTGATTAGGGCATGAGTGACAGTGAGCAGAATCTGCCAACCTAGGACGAGTTGCAAGTGGTGCATATGAAGCTGTGCAATGGTGCTCCGAACCACAGTTCCCCCTGCTCTATGAGTCATGAGTCCAGGAGGAACCCCAAATTGCACACTGGGGCTGTCTGGGGCACTGCAACTCCATCTAGCACCACAGATAGGATAGTCCTAGAACCCTTAATCATCTTTGTCCTCTATTATCTTCTAATAGTCAAATTTCAGTCACATGGAAAAAGCAACCAAACATGACCAGAAATAATCATCAGCATTCAGACCTGTTTAAAAAAAAAACTATTAAACATCCCCCCCAAAAAATATATATCTAACATCTGTCTTCTCATACTGATTCCTCTATTCCTCATTCATCTACTAATATTTTAAAGAAAATATACTGCAGCAACCGAACAGGATCCAGAACTGTTTCTACTGCAGAAACGGTGTCAGAGACACTAATCTTAAATGCCAGCAGTGGCAGAAACAGCTAAGTCTAAAACTGCTCTGAAAGCCTAAGTTATGGTCCGTATCTTAGTCATTTAGGTGCCAGGAAATTAGTTGGGCTCCACCATAGGGTTACAGCACCATGGCATCCCTTGCCTGCTCATTCTTCGCTCCACTCTTCACAGCGCAGAAAAATTCTCCACTGCTATGTAAAACTGGTTTAGTTTTATGTTTATCCACATGGTGGGAAGCATGCAGTGAGGTATTCCAAGGGTCTTGTTTGGGGGCCAGTGCTCTTCAACATCTTCATAAATGATCTAGACAAGGGGATAGGAGGAGGACAGATTCAAGATTCAGAAGGATCTTGTCAGACTCAAACAATGAGCTCTCTCCAAAAAGAAGCGGTTCAGTGGTGGTAGAAGTAAGGTCATAGGCAGGGGTGAAATCCAACAGGTTCTGGAGAACTGGTAGCGGAAATTTTGAGTAGTTCGGAGAACCGGCAAATATCACCTCTGGATTGCCATGCCCACCAAGCCACGCCCACCAAGAACAGGTAGTAAAAAAAATTGGATTTCACCACTGGTCATAGGCAAGAAAAAAAAACAAATGCAGAGTTACAGAATAGGCATGACCTGGTTCCATGCGAGCACAAGTGAGGCAGATCTAGGCGTCCTAATGGACCACCACTTAAGGATGAGCCAGTAGTGTGCTGCAGCTAATGCAAAAAAGCTAATGCAGTCCAAGGCTGCATCAGCAGAGGGATAGTTTCAGGATCATGTGAAGTGACAGTAGCACTTTATACTGCACTGGTAAGATCACGCTTGGAATACTGTGTGTACTTCTGGTCACCACAATAAAAAAAGATGGAGAGTCTCTAGAAAGAGTGCAAAGAAGAACAACAAAGGTGATTAGGGGTCTGAAATATAACCATATCATGAGTAATTGTGGGAACTGAGAAAGTCTAGTCTAACACTAGGGCTGATAGAATAGTCTGAGTAGAGACTCTCTGATAGTCAGAAGAGAAGGGCGGCTTATTTTCCAAAGCACCCGAGGGCATGACAAGAAGTACCAGTAATCGATTGAAACCTATCAAGGAGTGAGCCAAACTAGAACTAAGGAAAAGTTTTCTATCACTGAGAACAGTTAATCAGTGGAATGCTTCCCATTAGAAGTTGTGGGTACTCCATCATTGGAGGTTTTCAAGAAGAGACTGGACAGCCTTTTGTCAGGTGTAGGGTCTCTTGACACAGGCAGGGGATGAACTAGAAGAACCTCCAAGGCCCCTTCCAACCCTAATATTCTATGTTCTATTTAGCAAGAACTAATCCTCATGAGCAACGCCTTCTCTTGCTTAGAACTACTGTTGGAGGTTTGCCAAGAGGGTTATCATCTCTCTCCCAATTTCCTTACATTTAATACCCAATGGACCCTCATGAAGCTCAACAGATAGAACAGAGTTGCCTACATTACCTGGGTGGTAGTTGTTCTCATTGAACTTTTCCCACCCCTACCTGGATCTCTGCTGGAATTGCTTTCAGATCAACCTCTGATGGGAAGGATGCAGATGACTTCTTAAGCATTTGAAGCTAGAGGTTTTAATAGTGTATTGGTTTGTTGGAGAATTATTTGTTAGCCTTATTGATACTGTGGGATTCGTTGTCTAGGTTTTGAAATGAGTACAAGCCAAAACTTATAAAAGAAAACAATGGTAATTTTTATTTTACTACTTTGCAAAGAGAGTGGATCACATACTCGCAGGTACAGTGGACATACCCCAAGCCATCAATATATTTTGTTTATGTTCTTTATATTCACCGTTGCAGGTTTACCTCCCACCTTTTCCTCATTGGCTGAGCCCTCAGGCTGTCACAATCTATCCAAGGCACCTAAAATGAATACATTATTCCCTGCCCCTTATTTACAATTTATCTTTAATAGCTATTGGTTTCTGAGGGTTGTCTCTGATCCAATTACCATGCCAGCAAATTCTAGCTAAAACCAGTTTTGAACATACCTCTCATGCCCTTGTTCCTACTTGCAGCTTTAGGTTTGAGCAACATTTATGAGATTAGGTAAGTACACAGTGTATTCATTTCAAAGACTAGTATGCTCTTCTATAATTTCTGTAAAAACAATAAATTCCTTTCTCCTTTCCCACAATACTATGGGGCTTCTGAAATAGGCCTTAGTCCAGTTTGGTTTCTCAAACCCCTTCAGCTCTTGGAATCTAATTTCACTTTCTTACTTTCTTTCACAGATTTTAAACAAGTGGCTCTGGAAACACCAAGGGTCCAAGATGATCTTGCGCCAGAAGCCAGCATGATGGTAACCTAAATAATTTTTGACTCATTTTTTCTGCTCCTGCAAAAAGCAAATCTCCAAAAAATAACTGCTGATTGTTTTCTGCTTTGATGGATAGGAACTCTGCAGACTCCTCTATAGATGCAAGAGGAGGCTCCTTCCTTTCCAGCCCTGAAAGCTTTTAACCTATAGAAATTTTTGCTATTCCATAACCCATGATTTGCCTGCAGAAGGCCCCATTTTTTCAGGTGTAGCTGAGAAAGAGCTTTCCTTACACTCTGGGGTGCCTTGGCCCAGCTGGGTCCATGGACTGATGGTGTAATCTGGCCACTATCTTTCTAAACTGGATTTCTTGCAGATGTTTTGCTAATCCATCAGTTAGCAAAGTGATCAACTTTACAGAATGCCTTTCTGTAAAGTTGGAATATCAATTTTTACACAAAGCAATCCTCACAGTTTAGACCAGAGTATGCCATGTTTGGAGGGTCCCCATTGTCTTACAGCAGAAGAAACTTCTTGATAACCAGATTAGTTTGCTGACTGTCCACCTGGAAGAACCCTTATGCAACTTTAGATATGGAAGCTCCTTAACAATTGTGTCAAACATCTGGAAATAGGCTGTAAGAAAGTATCTTGACAGCTTCCAAGTGAAATCCCATCCTCAAGTCATCACAGTTGAACTTGTCCACACCAGTTCTCCTTCTTCCCTGTGCTTTAAGGCATGTGGGAGCGCACAGCAACAGTGTTTTAAGCAACTGAATCCTCAAAATGGTTGTCCAATCTTTTGGCGCACCCACAGCTCTGGGATGCAAATTGTTTCGTTGGTTACATTCACTGTCAGGAAGTTTTTCCTTAGTTCCAGGTTGGATTTCTCTTTAACAAGCTTCCACCTATTGTTTCTTGTCCTGCCCTGGGGTGCTTTGGAGAATAAGTCAACCCCACCTCTCTGTGGTCCCTCATGTACCAGAGATGGCTATCATTTCACCCCTATTTCTTCTATTCATTAGACTAGACCTACCTAGTTCCCTCAACCAGTCCTCATACAATTTAACCTGCAGCCTTTTATCATCCTAGTTGCTCTTCTCTGCACTTTTTCTAGGGTCTCAGCATCTTTTTTGTATCATGGTGATGAGAATAGGATGCAGTATTCCAAGTGTGGCTTCGCTGCTACAGTAATAAACAATACTATCACTTCTTGTGATCTTGATACTATCTCTCTTTTTTTTTTGAATTTTTTTTATTTTTATTTCTCATAAACATATTTAAATGTACAGTCTCTTATCCATCATTAATCATTCATCTCGTCTTTTAACTATTATTAATTATTAATTTTTTGGGGCTGTCTTTTTACCATTTCCTCTTTTATTTACAACTCTCCCTCTTCTTCTTCCCTTCTCTTCCTTCTTCTGACCCTTTCTACTTTCTTCATTCCTCCTCTTTCCCTTTCCTACTTCCCCTTCCCTTCCCCCACTCCTCTTCTTCCTTTTCTGTCTCCTGCTCTTCTTTCCCCTCCCCTTTCTTCCTCTCCTTTTCCCTCTTTTCTATCCCTCTCTCTCCTTTCCTCTCTTCTCCCCTTTTCCCCTTTCTCTGCCCCTCTCTCTTTTTCCACTCCCTTGTTGCTTCCACTTTCAATTCAATCTAGAATGGTATCCGAGCAGCCGATTTTCTATTCATATACATCTTCATTTCAATTTATTTGTTTAATAACTACTATTTCATCATTCATGTACACTTTTTATAGTTAACACTTTTTCCCTCCCCCCTCCCCCTTTTTCATTTACCTAGCGTCACCTGGGTTTCTATTCTTTTTATTCTTTTTTCTCTTATTTATCTTTTCCCTATCCATTTTATCTCTATACCTTTATTCATATGTCTTTTCTAACCAATCATAAAATTTTCCCCATGTCTTGAAATACATCGATTCCTCTTTATCTTTTATTCTCAATGTTAATCTGTTCATTTCTGCACATTCTAAAATTCTCTTTATTATCTTACCTTCTGATGGGATTTTATCAGCTTTCCAATTTTTTGCAAATACTATTCTAGCCGCAATTATTATATGAATAATCAAATATGTATCTTCTTTACTATACTTCTCTGGTAATATTCCCAATAAAAATGTCTCTGGTTTTAGCTCTATACTATCCCTCTGTTGATGCAGCCTAGGACTGTATTGGCCTGTTTGGCAGTTGCACACATTGTTGGCTCATATTTAATTGGTGGTCCATTAGGACTCCTAGGTCCCTCTCAGAGTTGCTATTGTTCAGCCATGGTTATACTGTCCCAGTGCATTTGTTTTTTCTTACCTAAGTGCAGGACCTTTTCTCTCTACTGAATTACATTTTAACAGAATAACATACGGTAGTTGGAAGCGAGCTTGGAGGTCTTCAATTCAATGTCCTGCTCAAGCAGGAGACTCTATACATTTCAGACAAAACCTTCTTCTTCAAAACCTCCAGTGATGCAGCAACCACAACTTCTGAAGGCAACTAATTTATTATTCTGTCAGGAAATTTCTCCATTGTTTCTTGTCCTGCCTTCAGATGCTTCGTAGAATTGGTTGAGCTATTATATCTTATCAGCTAGGCCCTATGCCAGCGGTGAAATCCACTTATCTTTGCTACTGGTTCGGGAACAGGAGTGTGCACGTACCTCTCCTGCGCATGTGCAGAGGGTAAAAGAGTGATGACTTGATGACGTGTTGGTGGGTGGGCGCAGCCTCCCACCACCGGCGCTACTGGTTCGCGCGAGCTGGAAAGATCCAGCCAGATTTCACCAATGCCCTATGCTCAAGTCTGGCAAGATCCTTCTGAATCTTGAATCTATCCTCCTCCTATCCCCTTTTCTAGATCATTTATGAAGATGTTGAAGAGCACTGGCCCCCAGACAGAACCTTGGGTTAGCTCACTGCATGCTTCCCTCCATGTGTATAAACATAAACTACATTGGTGTATTTTTATTCAAGCTTTGCATACCAGTTAAGAGTTTTTCTGCCTATATGTGAAGAGTGGAGCGAAGAATGAGCAGGCAAGGATGCCTGCTCATGGTGTTCTAACCCTTCTAACCCAACTAATCTCCTGGCACCTAAATGACTAAGATACGGACCATAACTTAGGCTTTCAGAGCAGTTTTAGACTTAGCTGTTTCTGCTACTGCTGGCATTTAAGATTAGTGTCTCTGACACCGTTTCTGCAGTAGAAACAGTTCTGGATCCTGTTCGGTTGCTGCAGTATATTTTCTTTAAAATATTAGTAGATGAGTTTAAGGCTTACTTTTAGCTGTGTTTTTCATGGCTGTGTCTTATTCAAAACATTAATAAGTTGGTAAAAATATGGGCTGATCAATTCTCCTCCTGGGAAGCTGCATTACTGGTGGCAGCTATAGGAAACTCAGGTTTGCCCACTGGTGGCTAACCAGGCCATGCGCCCCTCTTAGAGACCCATTCATAATCTATAAACAAGACTTGGCGATTCAATAATAAACCCTAATTCAAAAAAGCCCCCAACTATTTTTCTAGTTAATGCCTTCACTCGTTTTAAAACGTACATATTAAACTGCCATACATACAAGCATGGTTTTCTCTCCTTAGCAAAAAGCAACTTTGCATTTTTAATGTATTTTCCAGGTACTTTCATTTTAGAACTCCTCAGACCTGTGTTAAATGTTGCCCCACTGTGAGCCTCTTTGTGGTGTCCTTGCAGATGATGTCAGCAGCACTGGAGGCCCAGGAGCGGGAAGGGCGTTCCCCGCGGAGATGTGTCCGTGTCCAGGAATCCTGCCTTGGGCACAAACTGCCATGCTGTGACCCGTGTGCCACTTGTTACTGCCGCTTTTTCAACGCTAACTGCTTCTGCAAGAAATTCAGCAGCACTTTCCCCTGTAGCAGGAACTAGCTTGCATTATGCAGGCTGCCATTTACTGATCTTGAATAGATGTGAGGTCCATATATATTCCTTTTACATTCCAATAAATCACCTATGAAAAAGAACTCATGAAATGTGACCTTTTTTTTCATTAATTATGTTAAGTAAAACCAGAAAGCCAAAAGCACTTTAGCTTTAGCTTCAACCGTTTAGGATCTCTAAGCTTTCACCCAACCTCAACCGAAACAGGAGTGTTAACAGGGTCCCCAACTTCTCATCTTATTTCCACCATTGCCATAATCTGACTTTTACCTTATTGCTCAAACCTATCCCTACTTTCCATGGATTTCTCTTTTCCAGAATATGGTGTTCAGAATCTTTTATTTACAAAAATATCCTTTTGCCTCAACTCAGGAGGCAGGAGCCAAACTATCTCTGGTCTCTTCTAATGGGAGCACTATTCCCTATTCTCCAAACCAGAACTAAAAAACATAGAGAGGTGACTCAAAAACAGATCTCATACATGTGAAAAATATGGTAACACCCATGAGAATGGCGAATAGTACAAAGAGAATAAAAAACAAATATAAACATTACTCAAAAGAGTGTCTCTGGAGAACTTGTCCTAGGTATACTATAGGTAGTCCTTGACTTACGACAATTGAGGCAAAATTTATGTTGCTAAATGAGAAATTTGTGCCCCATTTTATGGCATTTGTTGCCACATTTATTAAGTGAATCACTGCAGTTGTTAAATCAGTAACAGCATTGTTAAGTGACTCTGGCTTTCCCATTGACTTTGCTTGCCAGGTCACAAAAAGTGTGATCTGTCCCCGTCCACACACACACACAAACACAGCCAGCCGAGGGTTAAGGAAGCACTTGGAACACACCCAGCTCTTTATCTCCAACTTGGCAGCGATATACACACCGTCTGCCAAGTGCTTTTATTTCCACAGAAAACAGAAAGATAAATACTCAGCTTCCAAACGTCCAACAACAATAAATATTCCTCCCAGTAGTTCCGAACGAGGCTTTAGTGACTATCCAAGGTTAGTTTTGTTCGTCACAGGGATCACTGGCCACCACCCTCTATTATATAGTCTCTGGGGTGTGGTCCAGTGACTCAGTTCTAATCCCTAGCACGCCTCCTGAGCTGCTGCAATCGTTTATCACGCCTTCGGAGGCGTGCGTCCAGGAATGATGTTTCTCCGTCGCTCTCATCCGAGCCACCTGTCTCTCTGCTAATCTCCTCTCCCTTGGCTGGCACCTGAGACAGTGCCAGAGGGGAGGGGCCTGGAGAGGGAGGCCTGGCTGACTCCTCTTCCTCATGCTCGAAGCTTTCTTCCTCCGATGGGACAGGCTCAGAGGGCGGGGCCACAACAAAGTGATCCCAAGACATTGCAACCATCATCTGAACCAGTTGTCAAGCATCTGAATGTAAATCACATGATCTTGGGGATGCTGCAACAGTCATAAGTGTGAAAAATGGTCATGTTACTTTTTGCAGTGTCATCGTAACTTCGAACAGTCACTAAATGAACTGTATCTGCCAGCCCAGGATTCTCCAGAATCTCTTTTGTCTTTCGTTATCTTTCAGGTTGTAGAAATATGGGATTTGGGAGGAAAGATCAAACAGGAAAAAGGAGTAGAGTCTGGTGCTGCAAAAAATGTTTTAGAACACATTCTATGAAAGATCAGCAGGATATTTGTCTGTCTTGTAACATCTAGTGATAGCAAAAGGTGCCCAATGTATCTCCTCCAAGAACCTAAGGAAGGTGCTGCCTTTGTCCCCTCAAAACACCTGCTGGAAGAAATTTCCCTGGTTCGTTCCCAACTGGGACACACCACAGATGTTGAGAAGAAATGGATGCAGAAGCCAGCTGCCAGGAAGTAGAATTCTTTTAATGTAGGAAGGCAAGAAGCAAAAAATGACACAGCTGGAGTGTTCCTGGCTTGCAAGCAGATTAGGGAGGCAAACCCATGCCTTATGTTGGTTTTCCTTTGATGCTCCTAAGAGTTTGATGGGTTTTGATGTATGCCTTTGGTTGAAGTGATTGCCCTGCGTCTTCCTGCCTTAATGGATTAATCCTGTCCCAGGACCTTTGTCTTTCCTATCCTGGGGGTTAATCCTATCAAGGGGCAGGAAATGGGAGTTCTGGTTTTGCCTTGGTGAGTTATTTTTAGGCTGATTCCTTAAGGATCTGCTTTATTTTTAGTAATAGGTTTTGGCAGTCTGCCCAGACTTGCACTTGTCTCCGATTTTTTGACTCTGCTAAGGAAAAAGGCCGTTTTCATTTCCTGCGCTGTTTCAGGGGTTCCTGGCACCGTCTTCTTTGGGGCGCCCTTCCCACACCCCGTTTCCCCAGATGGTTCAAGGCCCCTCGGCCATTACGGTGGCTTTCCCACAAGGGAACGTTCTGGAATGGCCTCTGAAGGAGAGGGAGGCGGGGGGGACTTTATAGCCAGACCCAGAAAGCGAGTCCCCCCCCCCCCACACGAAGGCCCCGGGGCGACTCTGCAGGTGCCGTGGCGGCTCCGGCGGCTCCCGAGGCTTTTGGTTCTGCTCTACAGAAGGAGCTCCCTGCTTCCCTCCCTCCCTCCCTCCCGCATTTGGCAGCTGTCGGGGCGGCCGCCTCCTCCCTCTTCGCAGCTCTTGGAGGCGGCCCAGGAGCCCCTTCCCCCGCCTGGCCCCGTTTCCCAGCCGCTGCTGGGGACGGCTCCTTCGGGGCGCTTGGCAGGGGCGGGGGAGCGAGGCCGGCCGCTGAAAGGGCGCTTCAGTGGGAAGGGCCCAGGCTCTCCTGCCCGAGCGGGGCCTGCACTCCCCGGCTCCCTTCCGGCTCTCGGACTCCCGTTCCAACAACCGAAGCTTCCGACCACACCGCCCACCCGCTCATCCCTCCGGCGGAGTTTTCCCGGGCCTGTCCAGCAGAGGCGCCCCACCGCGGCTCCCACGCAGACGGGCGCTCTGGCGGCGCCGGAAGCCGCTCCTCCGTCCGTCTCTATGGCCGCTGCTGCGGCGGCGGAAGTGCTGGGCGTCACGGGACAGACCGGGCTCCGCCGCCGCCGCCGCCATGCTGCTCTCCTGCTTCCCGGAGCTCTACTTCAACGTGGACAGCGGCTACCTGGAGGGCCTGGTGCGCGGCTTCAAGGCCGGGGTGCTCAGCCAGGCCGACTACCTCAACCTGGTCCAGTGCGAGAGCCTGGAAGGTCGGTGGCGCCTCCCTCCCTCCCTCCCTCCCTCCGCCCCGGCGCTCCCGGCTCCCGGACGGACCTCCGCTTGGGAGATCGCCGCTCCACCCTCGGGCCGCTCCCCGCTTTCTCGAGGGCTGAACGCCGGGCTGCCCCGCGGCTTCGGAGTCGGGGAGGCTGAGGGCGATGCGGGCCTGGCGGCGGGCCGGAAAAAGGGGAAGCGGCGGCCTCTCCGCCTTCTTCCCTTGGCCTGGCTGCTTTGCTTGCGGTTTCAACTGGGGCTGCTTTCGGGTCTCTCTAATGACTGAAAATATGAAACATAAGCTTTCCTGTTCAATCGCTTCTGAATGGATATCCCGTCAGTTCAGTTTATCTCAACACCCGAAGCAGCTTATAAGCTTTAAAAACACAGAACCCATTAAAAATTGGGAAAAATTAAAATCTTTAAAAGTATTAAAAGGGAAGTTGTGGGAGCGAAATGGGTTTCTGCGCAGGAGTAGCCCTTTCTTGCATCCCCAACGGGGCAGCAGGGCCTTTGCAGCCTCCCCTATCCACCGGGTCCTGGTGGGAGATGGGGCCCTGCAGACTGTCAGCTCATCCTTTTTTTAAAAAAGAGACTTAAATTGTGCAAGGAGATGGTCCCTCTATCTTGTATCAGTGGCCTGGCTGTTCCTTTCATTCTGCGCCTGTTGTAACTGTTGCCTTGGGAAGTTGTGGGAGCTTCATCCCTGGAAGCTTTCAAGAAGAGTCTGGGCTGCCATCTGTCAGAAATGGTGTAGGGTCTCCTACTTGGACTAGATGACCTACAAAGACCCCTCCAACTCTGTTAATCTGTTAATTTCTGGATACTTCTTAAGAGTGAAGTACAAAGTGCCTTGCAGGACTTGTAACCAAGGCAGAGGGAACCCTTGCTAAGTTGACTTTTGGCATTCTGGCTGCAATTGTTTCAACTCTTTCAAATCCAGCAACAGCTGAGCGATCCCAAACAGCAACCAGGGACATACCCTGTTTCCCCGAAAATAAGACATCCTCTGATAATAAGCCCAATCAGGCTTTTGAGCGCATGCACTAAAATAAGCCTCCCCAAAAATATTTAAATGCAGAGCTGGAAATCAGGTAACATGACAAGAGGATCCCCATCTTGCTCCACGTGCCCCAAAATAATAAGACCTCTTCAAAAATAAGGCTAAGTGCTTATTTCGGGGTTCAAAAAAATATAAGACAGGGTCTTATTTTTAGGGAAACACAGTAGAAGAACCCCATCCAGACCAAGTCAAGAGCAACTCATCCTCTTTAGCCTCTTGAGCCACGAACCAGAACCTCAAGCAGGCTGCCCTTTCATTCCTGGGAGCTGTTTTCTGTTGCTGCATCAGGAATTCTGTTTGCAGTTGCACTCATTGTGTGCCAGGCCCTTTCCCCATGTTGGTATAAGATAAAAGCCAGTACATTTCTGTTTTTTCCTCATCATTGATGTTATCCCAGGTATCAGGGTAACGAGTCAAATGTTAAATCCTTTTTTAAAATATATGCTTTTTGTAAACAGGCTATAAATCCTATTTCAATTTTTTAAATAGTGAAACAATTTTCTTCTTTTTTGAGGATCACCTGTCCCATTTATATTCCACATTAGGCATTTATATTCCATATTTATACCAAAAACTTAGGATTTGTAATTCCCAATATGGCGATCTCTCCCTCAGATTCTTGTTGTAGCTGTTCAGAATCCAAAGTGCTAAGGCTCTTTGTCATTTTCAGGGCAGTTCACCTTTAAACATTTCTAACAATTCTTTCAATTTTTGGACCAAGTTCAATCTGAACCTCTATTGTTTAAAAGTGAACATCACTCTTTTTCATACATGATTTCATTTCATGTATCAATATAATACATTTTTTAGGTTTAAGTTTGTTGATCAAAAAAACAATACTTCTCCCT